CCCCCCCCCCCCCCCCCGGGAGGATAGGTACGCTTCAATTCCTTCTCTTCCATTACCCTCTCAGGACCTTGGGCATGCATGCACACGCACCTGGAGTGAGTTTAAGCCAATGGGTCCAGGACTCAGATCACAGTCAACTACTTGACATAACTATTACGCCATCTGCTGGTCCCAGGACTGACAATTTCTGTCTTCCAAAATTTCCAAACAGCATACCACCCTTTATCTTAATATACTGTTTTGTCATTTTTCAAAGCAAACCCTGGGCTAGCAGTTAACACAACAGTTGAGTCCTCTGAATAGGGACCTGGATCCCACATCTCCAAAGGCATTTTGAATCCTGACTCCAGTGGCTTGAAAAACACGCTGGGTGCATGTGGGGTATCCAAAATCCTGGTGGATAGGCAAAGTGGAAGGAAAAGGATTGTGGTGTGACCATGCCCCATTGAGAGGTGCTTTCACTCTTCCTTTCCCTCTCCCTTTCTGGGGAGCACATAGGCAATTGACAAGAAAAAAAAAAAAAGACTTTAACCCTTAAATCTTGCTTTATTCCCAAGATCATGCTGAAAGGTTGCAAAAGCAAGCACTTTCTTCCGGGCGCTGCTACTTACTAGCTGTGTGACCTTGGGGAAGTTGCATACTCTTTCTGTTCCTCAGTTTCCTCATATGTAAAATGGAGGGTATAAAAATTGATGTATGAATTTCACGTATGAGAGACTTAAATGAATTACCAGATGTGAAATAGAACAATGCCCAAACCACCAGCAGTGCTTGGAAGGGCTACATATTCCCAACACTGTAACTGCGCTTGTATCCTGGGGGCCAGCCAGGTTTGTTTGAGAACAGAGCTTAGCTTCCGAAACAACTGGAGAGGCTTCCCTCGCTATTGTAAGAGTATTCCCAGAGCTCCGCAGGTCTGTTCTTTCCATTACTCCTTGTTTGTTCTTTTTGCTTTCTGGTACCCTCCGCCCCACCCCAGCTTTGCTGGCTGCTCCCTTTGTAATCTTCTGCCCACTCATAACTTTGTGGTTTTTTTACCCTTGTCTCCTATTAGACTAGAAACAACAGCAGTCTAGAATCATCCTACCTTCCTTCTACCTAAACAGACTTCCAGAGCTTATGCATAGTGTTTATAGCCACTAAGACCTTCATTTCCCTGATATTTTTAGTTTGGGCACCATGAAAACCAACCACCTAGATGTTCCTTAACACGGTGGATTATTCTTTCCTGGCTACTAGCCATGCCACTGGGAAACCACAGGGCAGACTGGTTTGAGGCACAATGAGAAATACCAGGATGTACTGGATGGAGCTGTCGGGGTAACGTGAGCTGCTTGGGAACAGGCGTGTGAGAATACTGATCTGCTGAGTGTGTTCTTGCACCGATTCCAATTTATACAGAAAATAGCTTTCTTTATTGATTTAGAACCAAAACACCAGCACATTATTTTTCTAAACAAAAAGTATATGGAGGTTTTCGAAACACTAAAATCCCGTCAGCATAGAACCAACATCACTGCGTCAGACCTTGAAAGTAGTACCTGACAGACGCCAGCAAACGACACGGGAGCACAGCAGCTATTATGTAATGAGACCCCCAAATAGTGACTGGCATCGCTCTGGGGGCACTTTTCACTTCTTTTTCCTGGGAAGAGGGCATGGATCATCTGACCGAAGCCCACGAAGACCAGCACCTGATCTCCTCTGAAGTCAAGGTAACTGTGGACCAGGGTTCCCTCCCCAGCAGATCTTCCTGGCAGAGCTGGGGAGAACAGCACTGATATTTCCAAAACAACCACACCCACAACCATAGTTGCAATTTCTTAATGCTCCTCCTCAGGATGCCCACGGTTTCCAAAGACAGGAAAAATACACCAATCATATCTTATCTCTAGACTCATGACTTTGTTGGCAAGAGATCGCTTCGCGGCCCCTTCCTGCCCAACCCTGGCAACGGGCCTGGATCGTGATGATCCCTCTTTTCCACAGGGCAGGCGCCACCACGCCCATGATCCTTCTTTTCAAAACTGCAGACACAGGGGACCAGCAGTTAGCATAATGGCTGTGTCACTGAACTCCCATGTAGCCGACCACAGTTCGAGTCCCAGACCCAGTGGCTTAAACTCACGCCGGGCGCGTGTGCACATGTGCCCAAGATCCCAAGAGGAGAACGGAAGAGAAGGGATTGTGGTGTGGCCATCCCCCCTGGGGGTGATTTCTCGCTTTCTGTCTCTCTGTCTCTCTCTGTCTTTCTGGTGAGCACACGTGCCCTATAGCAAACCCCCCCCCCAAAAAAAAAAAAAAAAACACTGCAGACACAGTTCAAATAATCCCTGGTCTTCTTTGAAAAGAGAATACCAGGACATGCTCAGACTAAGAAACACAGCTACAGGGAACCAGCAGTTAGCGTAATGGCTATGTCGCTGGACTCCCACGTAGTCGACTGCGGTTCGCGTCCCGGACCCGGTGGCTTAAAACTCACGCCGGGCACGTGTGCGTGCGTGCCCAAGATCCTGAGAGAAGAATGGAGGAGAAGGGATTGCAGCGTGACCATCCCTCCTGGGGGGTGATTTCCCGCTTTCTGTCTCTCTGTCTCTGTCTGTCTGGCGAGCGCCCGCGCCCTATAGTGAAAATCTCTCCAAAAAAAAAAAAAAGAAACACACAGCTATAGACTGTAGTTAACCTGTCTTTTCACGTAATAGGCAAGTAGCACTCCCTCAGAGACAAAGTAATTGCTCATCTCTGAGCCCCCAGAAAGATTGTCCCCATGAAGGGCTTTCTCATATTGCTTGCAGGCCCTGGGAGAGTCATGACACTGGCCATCCCATTAGAGTAAATACGTTATCCCAGTTACGAGGCAGGCCACTGTTCGTATTTATGAATCAATGCTCATAAATTACTTGTGTAGTCTGCAGGGTTTTTCAGATGCATAAAAACAGCTATAATGTCATATGAAAATAGGGATAAATTAAAACGGAAAATAAACATCCTGGTTATAGTTTTCAAAACAGTGAAAGACTATGAAAAATTATTTTCTAAAATACGAGAAGTCGCCATCACAGTATTCAGGATAAAATCGAGTGCCATCAGGTGCAGGGGAGTTAAGCTTACAGTTCAACCAGCAAAGCGGTTCCCAAGGAAAAGGTTGGGAGTCGTTCATAAGAAGGAAGAAGCTGGAACATGGAGGTATTCTCTGGTTCTCCTTCGCTTCCAGTGTCCATACACAAACACAACTTCCAAGGCTCCCTCTGGACCTCAACTCAGCAGTGAGATCCTCCCGTCACGTGGTTCCCTGGACCTTCTCTGGGTCACGATGAAAGTTAAATTGGGAGAAGAAAACCTCAGGAGACCCACCCCAAGTTAGGCCCTGCAGGCTGCAGTCTCCATCTGACCATCTCGTGCACTCCTTGAAAGCATCTTCATTGCCCCCTGGCAAGGTAAGTCACATATACTGCTGATGAATCTGAAAAATAAACTTCTGCAGCCTGAGGAATCAGAAATACCTTCTCCCCGTATGCTTTTTTTAATGGCCCTTACACCTTTAAGGTGCCCCAGCCAGTGGGGCACAGGGCAGAGTTTTCACCTGGGTCAGGAGGTTGTGGAACTCCTCCACCGCCTGTGAGTGTGCCATGGGGTTTAACACCAGGTGTTGGAAGAGATTGACAGGCTCAGCATTCCGAAACGTCTTAGGGATCGGGATGGTCAGGGGCAGGAAGGTGTTCCCAATGAGAAAGTGATGGAGGGACCTTTGCTGGAGGCCACGGCCCAAAAACCAGAGAACGTCCTGGAGGCGCTGACAGAGCATGTTGTGCTGCCAGTCTGTTAGGGGCAGCCGCAGCAACAGGTGCATAAGGGCTGTTTTGAAGTGGTAAGAAGTGAGGACGGGGCGGGATGCCCCTTGGGGTAAGTTCTGATGGTCCCGGAGACTTAAAATGATCTGGAGGCACTTGAGGTGACAGGTATTCTCAGGCGCAAAACGCCCTACCAGCTTCAGAAACAAGTGTTCACAGGCTGCAAAGGACTCGGGCCAGTCCACACTGGTAAGCTGTTCCTGATCAGGGGCCTGACTCACCAGGTAGACTAAGGTGTCTTCCCTCTGGACCGCCAGGACCAGGTGGATTGAGAGAAAGCGGCCTGAGCGATAGTCCAGCCGGAGTTTGCAGGAGGTGGTAGACGGTGGCAGACTGAGCTTAAAGTCATACTTGTGGGCCACGAGGGCCCAGGCGTTGCCCACCATGTTCCGGAACCACTGCACGGTCTTGCACACGTCCAGGTGGAAGCCGGTGCAGAGTGCTGCCTTGATGGAGCTGCCACACTTCCCCGAGGCCACCGGGTGGTCCCTGTGGTGGTGCACCAGGCACAGCACGTCCCCCAGGAGCTTCTCGCGCTTGCACACGCACTCCGACTCCACGAGCACAGAGCCGCAGCGGCGGCCGAGGGCCGGATCCCTCATCTCCAGGACAAACATGGTGCCCTGTGGGGGTAGGATGGGCACCAGGACGTCAAATTTCTGGGTTTCGTGGGAGGTTCCCCATTTCTCAAAGGCAGCCCCGATACCCAGACAGTCCTCCAACTGCGGGTGGGCCTCCCGGCGGCTGAGCACCCGACAGGCTTCGATGAGATCATCCACAAAGCTCTCCACAAACTCACAGGTGCAGGGCAGGTCACGGGTGGCATTCTGGACATAGTGTTTGTGAAAGGACTCCAGGGCTTCTCGGGAGGGGAAGTCGGTGAGCCAGTTGTAGGAGGTGACGGGCACGACACGGACTTCCTCCTCGTCCTCCTCACTGCTGGAGTCAAAGGCCGGCTCGTGCTGCATGTTCTGTCGCAGGAGCTCGAAGATGAGAAAAAGACAGAAGAGGCCGGCGTTCCACAGGTTCCCCAGCATCCAGCCCAGAGGGCCCTCCTGGCTGTCGGTCTGGAACGTCCAGCCCGTGTCCTTCCTCCCCAGCACTAACTGGTCACCGGCCGTGTCTCCTCTCCAGAAGCTCTCTGCCCTCTGCTTCTGCTCCGCTGCTTTCTTCTTCTCTTCGAACTCCATCTCTAACTGGCGCATCTCCTCGCTCATCCGCTTCTCCAGCTGCCGACTTCTGGCCAGCGTGTCCAGGTCCATTCGGTCACTGACCATCAACGGGTGGTGAACCACATACATCACTGTCAAGAACAGCAGGCTTATCACAGCCATGGAGGCTTCTGCATCTGGAGGAGTAGGAGGGTGGGAGTCAGGGGTGATCTTCTGGACTCACATGCTCTCCAGTGCATACTCCCCTGGTACCCCGAATCCTGGACATAACCACTCAGAGGGGACAGAAAGCTCACAGAGCCAGGCTTGAACAAGGGTAGAGGTTTGGGGAAGTGGAGGGCAGCAGGATATGCCACTCAGTCTCTCTCCTGCTTTCCTTGAGCATGGTGTGGGTGGAGTGGAGGCTTCCAGAGGGCAGACATGGGACTCTTCTCATTTCTGTGTAGCTGGGGGAGGGGGACCCGTGTGGTTGGGTGGCCTCACCAGACTCATCAGACCACCCTGGGCACCAGATACGCCCTGCTGATCCAGAGACTTCCTTTCACAGGCAGGAAGCACTGAGTCTGCCTGGGCAACACCTTGCCCGTCAGGGCAGCCAGCCCCAGGCCCCAGTGGTAACATCCACTTCCTCTGTGACTTCACAATCCTCCTTCTGCTCACCCAGTGTCTGCCCCAGCCTGTGGCCTCTCCTCCTCTGCCCCAGTGCTGCTGGCTGCTTCGGACTTGGAGGGCTGTGGGCTGCTGGTGCCCCAGGGGTAGCCCAGGAAACTGCCTGCAAGGCCAGGTGTCCGATCAGCAGGGTACTGTGGGTTCCTGGCTCCCCACCCACCCCTGAAGCCAGGGCTTTGGGCATTCACTCTAGAAGTTCCCAGGCTACCAGGCTTACCCAGATTGGCGAAGGGTTGTGTCTCTGCCACGATGAGCCAGGTGGGGGAGTCTCCTCCCTTGGGACCTTGGCCTTGCTTAGAGTCACCACCCTCTCCAGGAGCCCTGTTCAAAGTTACAAGGCATATGGGGGCTTTGACTCAAAGAGGAGCCGTCTCCACCTCCCCCTCCATTCATAAGTTCCTCCAATTCCACGCCCAGTGATTTGTACGCTCACCTATCCTGTCCCAGCCTCCTGAGTCAAGGACCCAGCCCTCCTCAGGGGCTCTCCAGGGACCTGGGCCAGGTTACTCACCGTCGGTGTCACCAGAAACGCGGTCTTAAAGCGACAGCGCGGCCTGTCCGCCCCTGCCTTCTTCCCGGCGGGGTGAGGGCTCCGGGTTCATCGCCGGGGCCACCCGTGGGAGTGGCCGGGGTCCGCCTTCCCGCCGCACCGCCCATGTTTGGCCC